ACCTTGCAGTGTACGAGCGCCGATAGTGGTCACCGACCACTCCATTGTCCCTTCAGGGCGTTGAAACCGAGCTCTATACTCTTCAAATGCCTTGGCTATGGGATGAGCAGGGCAGGCAACAAGCCCTATAGCCTGAGGGTGACGGCCCGCCCCTCTCAAAAACCCGCTGACAAATCGGGGGCAGGACTATACGTCCTGTCGTCAGCAGTGGTAGTAGGTTCAGCAGACTCGGCTTGCGCATCGGCAGTCTCGGTCGCTGGGGCCGCAGTGTGTTGCTTCGCTTCTTTCAGCAAATGCTCAGGTGGCTTTGCATGCTTGCAATCACACTTATCCCTCATGCACTTTCCATAGGAAACCCATTGGGCGCAATATCCCGGAATCAGGGGAGGACGCTCCTTGCGTTTCGCATCGGAACTCCCAGTTCTTGTGTGTGCGAATTTGCACTCTTGCCCGCGCGAACAGTATCCACGCGCGAAGTCCCTACATGCATCAATCGCAGGAGCGCCGGGCGACGTAGATCTGGGCCTCCTTGGGGGCTCGCCCCTAGGGCTAGGCGTACGCCGCTTGTCCTGCTCCCGATTCCTGGGAGAGTACCTGTCCCTTCGATGAGGACTTGGGGTATTACCGGTCCTCTTCCTCGGATCACTAGGGGGCCGATTAGGCCTATGGGAATCTCCAAACGGAGATCGTCTCCTAACGGGGGGACCAGGAGCACCAGGTTTCTGGGCTCTGTCCCTGGACTGAGATCGTTCGTAAAAGTCTTTGTGCATATTGACCTGATTCTTACGAACCCTCCAGCGGTCAATTTCGTTCTTACAACGAGCACGAAGCCATTCATAGCTACAAACATCAGGGTTGGATATGTTCCTATCCCATTCCCTGATATCATGAGCCAAACAGTTGAGGTGTCTAACCTTCTCACTGAATAGCGACCGCTTTACCTGTTCGGTCAGCGGTTCATCGAGACCCGCAAGGATGTGATCCCACTTCGCGATGAACCTTTCAAGTCGCTCCTCTTCAGTATAGAAAGATGATGTACTGCATCGTAAGTTTGAGAGCTCGATTATCCTGAACGATTGCTCTCCGATATTCGCAGTCCTTAAGTGGTCGTATAAGAGCCACAGGATCTGCCTACTCTTGATGCGATTGTTAGAGCGTTGAGCGGCTTCGGTGAGACGATTAATCTTATCGATGATTGCAACAGTCTTGATACACTTCCGAATGGCTGCATTGAACCTGGCTTCAAGGATGTGGTATTTACATTCCCCATCCAGTTCATCAAAGGTCTTTGCCTTCTCGACTTCAGTTAGCCAATTGATGACGTAAAGTCCATCATAGCTGTAGGCATTGCTAACAGCTTCCTTCATATTGGCTATCCATACCCTCAGCCCGGCCGCGTCGGGCTCTGGCGGGAGGTCTATGGGAATGCACTTAGTCGCAGCTGTACAGTTCGGATCGTGGTGGCTACTGTACCCGCCGCCACCAGTTCCGAAAAGATGCTGTGGAACCTGTGAACTACCGATCGATAATGCACATACAGGACAAAGGCGAGTAGCCTTCGGAATGCAAATCTCACATGCCCTTTTCATGCATATCTTACATTCCTCAATTTTGCTGGGGTCAGGAATATCCCGATCACACATCCGACATTTCTTGTCAGGAGGATCGGGGCCACGCATGGTCGGCGGTTCAAGGCCTGAAGGATCCTTCGGCCTTGTACCGTTGGGATCAAACCCTGGATAATATCCGGTTTCACGTTTATCCAGGGGCACGGGTTGCGTAGCCTTCGGAGGACTCTGAAGGTCAGCCGCGTTGGGTTGACCCCCAGTTGGAGTGTCACGGAATCTGTCAACGGGTGGCCGCAGAGGCGGCGAGAACGACCGCGTCGGGTTCGTCTCAGGTACGCCTCCAGGCGATCTATTCCTGACACGGTTACCATCGGGATCCCTTCTTCTCCTAGTTTCGTCCCTAAGGCACGCAAGACAACAGGGACCCTGGACAAATCCAAATCTCCTGTAGTCGTCCTGCCCAGCAGAATGTCTGGTGCAGTAGTAGGTCTTACAAAATTGACACTCAATTCCCTTGGTCAGGAACGAGCTCTCCCTACAGACTCCGCATCGGGGTCCGTTACGGGAACATTCTTCACACAGGTTCTCTTTAAAAGAGAAACAATACTCACAAATATCACCTCTGCATCCCTTGCAGTGAAACTCAGCCATGAGATGATTATATCCATCACCTACGTATTTACATCTGGGTTTACCAGGGTTGCCAGGGTTCCCACCGGCGGCACTCTTCTTCCCCCCTCCTCCTCGGCTTTGCCAATCTGGAGGAGGAGGTGGTGGAGGATCATCATCAGGAGGACCAGGTGGAGGTGGCCGCTTATCCAGAGTACGGGATGCGGCACGCCTTCCTCCTGTGTGATCGTTCAATCCACTACTTGAGGCCTGATTCGAGTGCCTTGACTCTAGGGAGTTAATTCTCTGGGCCGTATTACCCAGCACCTCGAGCATCTGCTCGAGCTTACTGTTGAGCGTAGTCGAAACGGCCATGTTATGAGTATTTTGCTTGTCCGTGTAGGATTTGCAGTCCCTTGACTTTATCTCAAGGTTGGCTTGTGTCTCATAAAGTTGGTCTTTAACCCACTTTATGCCGTCCCGATCATTGGTCCAGCGTTGTTCGACATCTTGCATCATCCCATCAATCTTACATACCCTAGTGGACAAGTCCTCGATTTTGAGGTTTACCCCACCAATCGCAGGATGGTTGGATTGGCTCTCCACTAGAGATCTCTCGATCATATCAACACGAGCTATAAGCCCGGTTACACGATCAGAAAGAGATTCAAAAACAGTTTGAACCTGGGTGATGGAGCGAGCAACATCATCATAGCTGGCTCGCTCATTTAGGGCATCGCCTATGCTTATCATGCGATTGGAAATGATCTTGACGCGTTGGCCAAGCTCGGTCACGATGTCCTTAGTCCCTTGTGACATCTGCATGGCCGCGTTCGCAGCCTGCGTACACGTGCTACTCACATGGACGCATTGGTCGTATTTGGCCCTCCACGAGTTAACCTCAGTGGAGAGCTGCTTGATGCATTGATCACTTCTATCATTCCTACGCCCAAGGTCTTCGACCTTAGCAACCAGGCGATGAATGATCGCACTTACCGAAGAGTCTACTCTCCCTCTTTCAAGGGCTGTTACAAGATCAGCAACCTCGTTGGGTTGCTCCTCACTCGCAGGACCAAGTCCTGATCCGCGATCTCGAGGAGTGGACAAATCAACCATGATTGGATTAGATCTCGGAGGAGTTCTGAAATCATCCTGCACGGCCGTTGATGGCCGTGGGAACTCACTCCGATTAGGAGATTGACTCTGATACGGAGCAGATCTCCTAGCATCACGAACCGCAGAGGGTTGTGTCATGCCCAGGCCTTTGGCTACGGATAGTTTAGGAACAACAGGCCTATCCGTTCGCATAGGAACATCAGGTCTCGAGTCAGCAATAACAATGTCATTCAAGTCGGTCGCATTGGACACTCTAGACTCAGACATCGATTCAATATCAGTCGCATTACTGATGGTATGATTGCGGCTAGAACTTGATGCCATCATGGACTCGGATTCTATCGGAACATTAGCTCCGTCCATGTTGTCCAGAGCGAAAATGGAAGCCGCGTTGGGCGTAGGGCGAACACCTTGCGCGTTCAAGCCGCTTGACCTATTAAATTCCTCCTGGAATGCTTCGATCCCATCAAGCACGTTAACGAGTGTGTCCGCGTTTAACGGGTCTCTACCAATGATCGACGCAGGATCACCTGATCGACCGCGTCCTGAGTCCCGCGCACTGGGGTTACCCCTGTGAGCAGTTTCCCGATCCATCCCCCTTGCCCTGTGCGATCCAGTCGAATTTGACCTTGATCGTTTGCTTGGGGTTGGACTGGGATGCAAATCCGGTCGAGCCCACCGGATTCGGTCGGCAGATGAACGTCAAATGCAACTCCACTGGATGTACCAGGTTCGGGATTACCGAGCACTTGAAAAGCTATGCTACTGGTTGGCACAGGTCTACTGCTACTTCGAGAGTCACGAAACTCGGACTGACCAATATTCATCAGCTCCGGGAAAGATGAGGATTGAGCTCCAGGTGCAATACCGGGCTCATCATCATCACGTCCTGAGACGGAATCATTATGGTCAGGACGATTAGCCCCATGACCCTGAGAGCGATTAGCTCTAGAGGCATTAGACGATAGGCCATCAGTGCGAGTAGCACTGGACCTTCCTGAAGGCATTGCTTCTGAAAAACTGTGGTCCGACAAAAAGTCAGGACCGGAAAACATCGGCTGTCCGGGCACTTGGTCGTCATTCACAACGTCCAAGATTCCGGCCTGGCCGAGAACCCATTCGTCGGTCACCACATGAGGTCCGTCCTCAGTGATTCCCGACATGACGCCTACAGAGACCTTGCGAAAGGGTTTGAAACAGTATTTCGGGAGAGAATAAACAGGCCCTAACCCACCAACAAGAAGAGACAGTTTAAGCCCCCCAGTCCCAAGGGCAAAGTGGTGCCCTCGGCTGGCACTGAACCACACAGATAACAAACGGGGGATCCTGTTTAACCGCAAAACCCAAACAGGAAAGGGGACCAGCGCAGCCAACCAGGCGAGCGCAGCAAGCAAGCGAGCAAAGCAATTAACCAAGCAAAAGCGGAGCAGCAGCAACAGAGCGCACACCACCAGACAAACAACCGACCCACAACCAAAGACCGTGCCTACCGCCGCGAACCTCAGCCCGATCTTTTGCAAGACCGAGATGAGTAGCGGCGCCGTAGGCAGCCGATGCCGTTATGGCGGCGGAGTCCGACGCGGTGAAAAGCTTGAGCCAAATGTCGCGTTGGACATTGGCAGGAAATGATATTATGATAAATGTACATGCCCCCAAAAACAGTTTCACATGGCCGAAACCAAGTTCCACAGAGTTAAGCCCAGAAGCTGAGAGGAGCCAGCTGCTCCGACAGGCTGCTGCTTAGCTCCTGGCTAAGTAGGATGCGGCACACGCACCCGCGAAAACACGCAACACTGCATACACAGAAACGCCAGCACCCACGCTTGCCACAAACCCTGGAAAAATAATTAGCCAACTTAAGAAAAGAGCCGAGCTGAGAAAGATGCGGGAGCGCTTCAGGCCGCAGCGAGGCAAACAGACTTCGCCACCTGTCACAAAATTGTCTTAAAGACTTTTTCTCTCTGTCAAACAATGTCTACACCCTTTCACTCGTTCAGTGGGACTTGGGAAGCTCAAGGCCAAACCACAAAGATTTCAGCAAGCACTTCAGCATCACCAAGGCCAAGCAGAAACGACAAAGCTCGAAGATGTGAAGACACCAGGAAGAAAAAGAGGCAACAGGTTGAAAGCTGCGAGAAAAAAAGGCAAGACCCCTCTATCCGACAGAATCTCCAGAACGAAAAACAGTGGAAACGTTGACAACGTCGGCAACCCGCGAACCGCCATTTTCTGCTGTTCTGGTTCTTTTGATTTTCTCACTGGCACACGCCAGCCTCCGCGGCACGTCTGCAACTGTTTGGAGGCCCATCCGGTCCTCGGAGTCTGTCCTGGATTGGTGTGCGGAGCCTCTGCGTGACCAGCTGCACCTCCCGCGCAACGTTGGCTTCGCTCACACGCAGCGCGAGTCTCAGGCCTGCCCTCCTTGCAGCAAGCCGCCCACATTGCCTGGCGCGCCAGGTCCAGAGAAGCTCTGCAAGCCACAAAAACCCAAACATCAGCACAACTCGGATTTCTTGAGGTGCACTTTGAAATGAGAGTAACCCCATGTCTGCGCAACCCCTTCCCCCCCCTTCCCCCTCTCCCCCTTCCCCACGTGCGCGCTTGCGGGCGCGCCGCCTCGCGCGAGCGCGGCCCCGAGCGAGGCCGCGGCCACCGCTTCGCCGCCGCCCAGGGCGAAAGAGGCGGCCAGGCCTTCGCCGCAGTCCAGGCCTCAAACGACCCGAAGCGAAGCAACGAGTTGGAGCGAGACGAACCGCCGAACTTCGGCGGAATCCGCTGCCTCAGCCGTCCTCTCCAAACGCGGCATGACGTCAAGTAGGATGTGTCAACTAGAAAAGTGGTGTCTCAAAGTACTCTTCTGCCTTGAAAGCTGGAGCTTGCAGATTGGCTGCCTGGCTGCACGCAGATTTCACACACATCCTTGTCCGTCCACCGCGGTTCTCTGGCCCCTCTGCTCAAATGTCTCTGTGCAATTTGTTGGGCGTGGCACTCACGAGCTCCACGGAATCCACGGACTGCCGGGTTGCAGCGGCAACCTCTCCTCTCGGCGCACGCGGTCAACCGCTGGGCGCGCGTGTGCTTCGGTTTTGAAGGGAGTGCAGTGAACACTTAGCGGAACCTCACGGATGAGGGTTGAATGCTGACTATATGAGCAGGATAATGAATTCAATCGAACCAATTTCCGGCAACCGTTGCTTGGCCGAGAGAAGCGATTGATTGAAGCACATGTGCGGGAACTAATTGTCGAGCCTCCCTTTTCGCCATGATCCACGTCCATTCCCGGACTGATTTGTGCTCATGTTTAAGACTCTCTGCCGGAAGAGGGCAGCGCAATGTATCAACATGGAGGGTTGGCCAATCCTAATCCAGTACAAAAAAGGGACCCCGTGCGTAACCCAAGCCAAGGACGAAGGATTACCTTTGAACAGCCCAGTCTATGGCACCCTTTCCAAGCCGTGAAGGGCATCGGTCTTCGGGCAAAGCGCTCCTTCCAACGCCCGCGCGAAAGCGGGGGCGTCTTCCACATCCCGCAGTGGCAGCAGCAGCCGCACCAAGCGCCGCTGCCTGCAAACCACTTGGGGCTCAGGGCTCATGAGGGCCAAAAAAAAGAGTGGTCGCCTCGGAAAAAAGAAGGGGGGGTTGCACATTAATGAAAGCAAAGACCTCGACAGTGGCCCTCATGTTCCAGCTCACCGAATAGTCAAACGAGTAAGCTCCCGCCTCCCGTCTGCCATGCCCGCAAAAAGCCATGGCGACCAACAGTCGAAACTCAAAACATGGCTTCTGCGCGTTATATAGGGTTTGTGGAGGTGATATCTTGGGGTCAGGAGCAAAGATAGGATCATGAAAATCCTGGCTCATAGCCGTCTACGAAAAAGAGGGGGGAGGGGCGGGCATCATATTGGTGCAGGACAGCAACGCTGCTTCGGTTTCGGGGTCGTGTGCCAAAGGAGGTCGTCGATGCTTGCATGGCATCCCGGCATCCCCATCCCGTCCTTTGATCACATGCACATGCTGCGGCATGTGCGATCCAACATTTGAGGCAGGGCAGCGCTGGTCACGTTGCGGCAGCCTAACCAGCCTGCGCACGTGGCTCATGAGCAAGGAGTTTTGCTGCTATTGCTGCGGCTGCTCTTGCTGCTCATGTTTCGGTTGCTGTGTCTCTCGTCACCACTGCAAGTAATGACAAATATGGTTGGAAGTAAAGCCCCTCCTTTCCTAACCCCAGCCAACCGAACATCCACACTCCCATCGGCCAAGTCTCAGATGCAGCCGTGGCTTGCCTAGGGCTCAACCCAAGTGTGGACCAGTGGCTACTCAAAAGTGGCCACTTAGAAGGTGGACCTCTGGTGGGGAAGTAGGTACAAACAAAGTCATCTGGGGTCACGCGTCCACAAAAATGAAGGGTTCAAGGCGTGAACGCAACATACTCGTCTGTGCGACTGTCTGAATGCAGTGAAGTTTTCTGTAATCGCACACGACCCCCCGTAGAGTCTTGCCTTTGAGCTGCAAGGACAACAGTCCACCAGAGTATGGCCTTCCTGATTTCATGCCGCGGTGCTGGTTGCGCACCTGAACATACCGCTGCGCCTTGATCACCTGCAGTTCAACTTGAGATTTCTGGATGGGACGGTGTTCACATGTTTACACTCTGGCAGTCTGAGAGACATCACATCCCGGCCTCCGTCTCGAACCTGAGATTGACGCAGCAGTTTCAGCGGATTCCGTGGCGTGGCTCATTGCCAGTGAAGCAGGTTGAAAGTCTGGGCTTTTGTTGCACTTTGCCGGCGCATCATTGCAGTCTGACATTTCTGGCAAATGATTTGTGGAAATACCTCCGTTCTTCAAGAAAGAAGTAAGGCGATGCTTCAAGCTCAGCGGAAGCACTACCAGCTTGCGCCGCCGAGCAGCTCCACAATCCTGGCGCATCACAGGCGCATGCATCACAGGGATTTGGATGACCGCGAAAAGTTGGCAAGTGCTCAATTTAAGGCGGCAACGCGCGAAACTGCAAACTCTCAGCCAACTCAACTTGGTGACTATGGATTGGAGACTGGAGGAAGTGAGGCACCCTGCAATGCCTAGGTTGCCGGCCTCATCCGCTGCTGGGCTTGCTTCCGCCGAATCTTCTGCTCGGCCACCTGATGGGGACCGCTAGATATCGCGCTCTTGCCCGGGTGGTACCGCCCAGCGTTATGAGCAACACTTGATTCTTGGTGGGGTTGCCCTGCAAAGACCGCCCGCACTGGCCGGCAGTGTGCATTGGACGCTGGCGCCTGCGTTTCTTTGATGGCAGTCTCGAACTGCTCGGGCAAGCTAACGGCCTTCGACCGCTGCTCACATCGACAGGTGGCATGTCTCGAATTGCCATTTGTAAGGATCTACTGAGCGCCAGTTGCCTCTCGCAATAAAACCCTCCTTCCAATGGGAAACACTTCCAAGTCAAGCGACCGGCCGAAGCGGCAGCAACAATTTACGGATGCCTGGAACTGGAAGAGCGGCACATCCACGAAGGCATTCTGCCTAAAGTGTTCCCGCAGCGAATGCTCCTCGGCAAGAAGCCCCTTCTAATCATGACAATACCTGTTTCTGCCACCCACCCTTTGGATGACTCGGTATTCAGCCCTTTCCCGCTGCACACTGCAAATCAGGCATTGTTGATGCAAGCCACCATCATGTTGCCGATCATGGTGCCTGGGACAGGGCAAGCTTCGGCTCTGAAAACGAGTCGCTTGCAGCTCACTAAAGATCTCATACGCCATCGCAACAAACGAGACAAACCGCCTAGTATGCATGCTACCACGGTGGGAGGGCTGCTTGCTCAGCATGGTTTTGGCCTAATGAGGCCCTGAGCTTTCACTCTCGTTCAAAACGGAAGCTTTGAGGCTGTCTACATGCAAACCCTGTGACCACACGTCTGGAAAACAATTTCAATTGTTTTCATTTACCTACTAGATTCCTTCCATGCCCTCCAGCCACATACTCATCAACGTGCAAGGCAACCTGCTTGGTTTTGCAAACCCCTCGACCACAGGTTTTTTCTTTGGTTTTTTTTTCCCGGTCATGCGCTAGGGAACTCGCTTAGCTGCCTGCAACATCTCTAACCAACTCTTACATTTATATACCTGGTAGGGAACCCTTTTTGCAAATACTGACTAAATGCAAACAGCCTGCTTAGACAGTTGCAAGCCCTGTGACCACATGTTTGCACCCGAGTACTAGCACATTGCCTGCTTGAAAACTCTCTGACCAAATGGCTCCATTCACGGACTAGTGAGTAGGGAATCTGCTTGGTAAGCTGCAAACCCTCTGGCCAAATGTTTACGTTCCCGCACGGGGACACCCTTGGCTACTCGCAAAATGATGATCATTGTGTAACGCAGGCGAACTAGGAACTCCGCTTGGCCAGCTGCAAGCCCTCTGGCCAAAGTGCTTACGCTTTGCAACAGTGCCAGGGTGAGGTTTTCACACACCAAAGGCGCACTCTGACGCGGGCCAGATTTGCTAAAATGGCCTGTGGCGCGCTCTCGTGGGGAGCCGGTTGCCTTGTTTTTTGCTGACTTGGGCTAGGTGCAGGCAAACATTTTTTGGTGTAACAAGGAGCCAACAAACGCTCCAACACTAGCCAACACGGTCAGAAATTCAAAGCAGCCCGGGCACGATTCACGAAGAAGGCTCGTGCAATGTGGTTTGTCGCTGCCATAGTCAGCAGGTCCATACCCATCCTCACTTGGAATTGAAAAGGGGCGCGGACCAGCGCACCTCCCGTCATTCCAAGTGGCTTTACAAAGAGCTCGTGATACTCTGGGCCTGGGCTTGCAAAGGTTGCCCACCGCAAAGCTGAAGACTAGGGTACACACCAAAGGTGGTGTACATCTTGTACCTCGGTACTCACAAGGCTTTCAACGTGCCCGTGGCAATCTCAACGACACTTGCTGAACAGCTGAGCACGCCGCAAATTGTCCTTGGCCAGTTGGTACTGGAACGAGATCCTTGGCTTCAACTTGGCTTCCCTAGCTTTCGGCCAAACGGATCAAGCAGATATTGTCTTTGGTTTTGACCAGCTGCTCGAGAGACACTTCCAATCCGTCTGCCGTCCGCGATCGCAGCGGACCCCCAGATGCTTCTGCCGCATCATGGGAGAACTGGACAGTAATCACCGTAGAAGGAAACCTCGGCGGTGATTGTTCAACATATCTTGCCTTCTGCGGCTTGTACTCTTAGATATTTTGTGTTCTCTATCTCTCTCTCTCTCTCTCCTCTCCTTGCGCGCCCGGCTTCACGAAACGGTGGCCCAAGCCAAGCCAATGTCTACCAGTGCCCCACCTGAGAGCTGTCTGAAAAAGCGTCCAGAGGCGAATTAGTGACCCACCCAAGCCCCGAAACAAGTACGAAGGGCCATGCACAAACAATACGGGCCCAACTCTTGGTGTCACGTTGGGTGGCTTGAGATGCATCGCAACATCCTGGGCTATCTATCATGTGTTGGTCAATCTGGGGTCACCGCGCTTCGGGGGAAATGGACTGAAGGATCACATTGTAATCCAAACCGATCCTCGGCTTCTGCGTTTTGCACCTCGCTCTGCCGCTTCCGCTCGACTCGCTTCCGGATCTGCTGCCAGAGGTGCTCCCAGGGCTCCAGCACATCCCAGGCCTCGGCCCGAGGACGGATGGCTCAGACCTGCTCCGACTGTTGCCTTCGACCGGTCTGCTTGGAAGGCCAAGGGTCATGGCAGCCGTGGGCCAAGGCGGCGCCGCTCTAAGCCCCGCGCAGAATAGATCAGGAAGAAGCTGATGAGGAGGCTGACACCTAGACACCTCGTGGCCACAGCTAAGTCCAGAAACACTGGAAAAGCGCTCCGAAAAGACATGTATCTGGTGCGGAAGGATGTCGGCAACCAAAGGTGTTGGCCGGCAAAATTCGGAAGTTGGTGGTGCAAGCTAACATGTCAAATGTCCAAAGCAAAGACACAAACCGTGGATGAAGCGGTCCGAAACTTCAGCCAGAGAGTCACCTTTGAAAGGTTAGGTGCCTCCCGCCCCGTGAGGCGCGCACACGAAGATGGCTTTGGCCATCCACGCTCAGAAGCGAAGACTCGCGGAAGCTATCGCTCAATGGGTCGACTGGCGTGCAGTGAGCTGACAAGCTACTTAAGTTGAGGAGTTTCTGAGCAAGGAAGCGGCTTTGTCTGCGTTGTCTTTCAAGATTGGCGACAACATAGCAGCCGAACGAACTAAACCAAAAAAGCAACACACGTGTTTCAAAGATAAGCGGTATGCTGTCTGTCTCTCTCTGGCAAATGTAACAAAGTACAATTCTGCTCTGCCGATGGAATGCGCATTTGCCTGCTGTGCATCTCACCTGCTCATGGTTTTCCTCAGCCGTAGCCCGGGTTGAACCAAACAAAAGACACACTGAGGCCAACTGTGCCATCAACTCCCGAGGTTGTGCACGCACGCTGCAAAAGCATCTGCCATCTTCGGGCAAAGCTTCCTCTAAAATTGAATCAGCCACGCATCACCACCCACCCGACACAGATTTTCTCTCTGTCGCTGGCACGGTCGTGACCCAGCTCAGCGGGTCTGGCCGCCTGAGAGCTGAACACATGTCACATGCCCACCGGAAACAGCTCAAGGTGCCATGTGGAAACAGAACCTGACTGGGGCGGCCCATGACATCTAGCAAATAAACACAAGGGTATGCCTCGCCAGCGTGCTCATGTCCTACCTTCCTCCACACCCCCCCAAAAAAAAAGCACCAGAGAAGAACATGTTGCACAGTCCCACGTGCTCAGAAGGCCAAAGCAAATCAGAAACATAAAGCACTCCAACTTGTCCAAACCTATTCGCCCACCACAAGCCCTGCCTCGGAGCTGCAGCGCAGAAGTGACCTGGCAGTCGCTGCCCCAAGAACTGAGATCCCTCAGGTCTGTCAACTGTGTGCAAACTGTTTGGGCTTTGTGTCCCGCTTCTTCTCGCCCATTCTTGCGGACAGAGATGTCCGTATGCATGCGGGCAGGTAGGTATGTTCTTGGTCCCGCCTTCGTCTGCAACTCTTGCATGGAGGAAGTCACCGCAGCAAGATGCTGCCTCTGCAGTTCTCAAGCCCAACAAGAAGCTTGCCCGTGGACCAGTAGCATGATTCCGGCTTGATGCCAAGTCTCTTGGAATTTCATCCGTATATACCACTTCCACAGCTTCAAATGGCAACAACGGCAGACAGAAGTCATGAAGTTGAAAGCCCTGACTCGAACGGCCTCAGCGAAATGACTTCTTGAGCAAGGCCGTCCACCTGTCAGGCCAGGATGCACACAGGCTCCAAGCGTATTTTACGGAGTGCGATTGAGAAACCTGAAGTCGAGGTTCTTGTGCAAAAGTATCGCTGGAAAGCTCCCTTGCAAGGTGGCCTTGTGAATCTCAAGTCTTTTCACCTATAGGATGGCACCTGGCCTCGCAAGGCCTCAACCAACATCTCGTGGACTGCTTGGAACCCTATGCAAAGAAGGGTGGCTGAAGGGGAGAACAGCTCTTGTCACGGTTTTTCCCTGGTATCGCTTAGTATCAGGTTTTGCCCTGTATAGGTTTGCAATGTGTTGGCAGCTCTTGCTCGGAAGTGCCAACGTTTCAGTGCAAGTGCAAGATATACAAAGTACACTTTGGCGGCCCTGCTTGAAAGTCGCAGCTTTTAAGAACAAGTTTAGCACGCGAAGTACACTTTGGCAGCTCCGGCTCGTAAGTGGTGACAGTACACTTTGGCAGTTCTGCTTGAAAGTCAAAACTGCTCAGTACAAATGTGGCAGAAGAAGTACACTTTGGCAGCTCCGGCTTGAAAGTCACAACTGTTCAGTACAAGTGTGGTACACAAAGTACACTTTGGCAGCTCCAGGACAATTGGCTGGATTCGGCAAGACACTTCAGGTGGGCATCGGGGTGGTTCTGTTTGCGAAAAAAAGAACTTATCGGTTTACAGTTTTAGTTGAGGGACGGGCCCTCTTTTTCAACACAAGATGTTTGAAGTGCCGACCACTGACAAATTACCTGGAGACAGCGTGTCACAACGGCAGAAGGAGAAACACTAAATCTTGATTCCCAAGAGTGCTCCTGGTCCTGCCGGGTCATGGTGCCGGTGCCAACCATTTCTAGATTTCTACCTGGCTCTCCCCCAGCGGGCTCAGCATTCTTGGCTGATGCCCCCTTTCTTTCATTTGTGTCTTCTGTCCCTCACTCTCTCTCTGACCGTGGCAGCATCCTCCAGCGGCAAGCACTTGCCGCACAGGACCTTGCTGTCGTAGGTCTCCTGGTGGGAAAAGACATCGAGAAAAGCGCTCGCCACTTGCGGACAAGGGCGTCTCACTAAACAACTATATGGTTTGGGAGCACCGCCCCCGTTTGCCGGTCTCAATGACAAACAACACGGTGACGGCTCTTCCATCGTGAGGCTCTAAAAACAAACAAACAAAAAAGCTGGGAAAGCCCGACCTCCGGGCTTCGCCCCCCCAGCCTCAGCTCGGTCCTGGGGGGCGAAGGAGCCAGCACCAAAGAGGTGCACCACAGCCTTCTCCTCACATCCATCACAGGCCTGGGCCTCAGATCGGCGCCTTCGAAAACGGAAGTCACGCTCGTCGGGATTGGAGATGAGGTGATGCGGCCCAAAAGAACTTGCTTCGACACCCAACGTTGACACTTTTTGTGAACCCTTGTGTGAGGAGCGGAAGGCCAAAGCCCATTTCTGGCACACTTCTTGGCAAGCCCATCCCTGTTCCCTAACAAAGTATCCATGGTCGCCCACGCAGCGGAAGCCCACGTCAAACTCCCGGAAGCCTCAGCCCCGTCCGTGCGCTGCATTTTGGAGAAATGTGCTTGCGCCGCCCCCCAAAGAACAAACATGTCCCAGCAAGTCTGGTTGCCTGCCTGGTCCATACAAGAATGACTGACAATTAATTCGCTGACAACGGCGACGTCCCTTTTTGCGTCACCATGGGAAGCCGCTGGCCTGCTGCCGCCTGGCAATCCGTCTTCACCATGCAGGTCTTGGTCGTCAGGTTCTTGAAGGACCGGACCTTAGCGCCAGCACCAGAACACGACGTAATCAAGGAACAGTGGTACTCTACCCCGGGTACTGCCCAAAGTGCCTCATGGCCAAATCGGACAATCTTTTAATGACATGCCGTCTTGGAAGATCCATTCCTGCTTGCTAGGTTCACGGAAGTGGCACCTTCGACGGCTTTTGGCATTTGCCGGCTAAAATGAGCATTGCAGCTCAGTGGGTTGCTGACCCCCCCCCCCCACCCCAGGCCTGCCTAAACACGAGAATTCAACACTCCCACTGGCCAGAATCAAGGAAACCAACGGTCGAATGTCTTGTCCCTGGGTCGCGGGGCGCAAGCTCCAGGGCCATACGGCTGCGCATCCTGGCTGTAAGCGAAACCCAGCTCGGAAGGCGAACTGCTTCGGAATTGGTTGGATCTCCCTATATTGTCTCAAGCCACATGTAAGTCGGCTGACATCCTGCCTTCTCAGCCTGTGATGCAGTGGCCTGACAACGGCTCCAGCGCACGAGGGGCATAAGGATCGGACCAACACACTGTCACCAAGTCACTAAGAGAGATGCAATGGCAGTGTCGTGCTGAGTGCCGGGCGCTTGACACCAAGGACGTCTTGACGGGCTGGACAAGCTGGGCAGGCTGGGCAGGCTGGGCAGGCTGGGCAGGTTGGACCGTCTGAATGGTCTGGGCGCTTTGGACCTTCTTGGTGGTAGCAGCCTCCTGCAAGGCTACCTCAGCAGGCATGCATAGCCCAGATAGGCCGTCACAAGAAAGCTTCATTTCCAGCAAGAAGTTGCATGCATAATCCTACCAACCTCATTGTTTTCTTCAACCATTACCTTCAGCACACCAAGGGCTGAGAAGACTTGCGCAAGTCTGAGATAGTAACGAGCTTCGTCCTGCTGGACTCGCCAGCAAGAACCTCGCTCAAACATCATAAGTTGACTGCGGGATGAGACGTGCAACTCCAGTGGGCGAGCACCACAAGCTGCGAGGAGCGCAAAAGGGGCGGCCATGCCTCGTCGCCCTCGTCGGCCCCGTCGGCAGCTTCCAGCTCGGAGCCCTGAGAGTCGCCAAGGGGTCCGGTGCTTCGCGTGACACTCTTTGGAAGCGGTCGTCCGAACCGCCTCGTCGGGGGTCGGTGCCGGGGTCGGCGCCTAGAAGCCAAATGTGGAATCCTATCCGCGCGTTGGCCGGACATAGTCCTCTCATTTCGAGTATGTCAGGCCTCCGGCGCAAGGGCCGCCAGCTCTTCAATGCCCAGGGCGCCTCAGCGAGCTTGCCACTAAGCTTGAAGCCTTTGAGCCCTGAGCAGCCTTGGCTGAGGCAGCCACCCGCATGCACCAGCCTCAGAATGCATCGTTGCCGCCTCTTTCACATGGATCCAAAGGCAATCTTCAAGTGAGCCAACAGAGTGGCCGCCCTCAGGGCAAGACAGGCATGCCAAAGCCAGAAGTCGCATGACCTGAGCGACAAAGTGCGACTTGGCCAGAATAGCAGAACACTGGCACATTGCCCTCATGCAAGGATGGCATGGGCACGCACACACAGACACGGACACGGACACAGACACAGACACAGACATCCTAAGACTGCAAATCCCGTACCTCTCCCCCAACCAGTCGGATACAACTCTGCGAGGGCTGTTTGCAAGGAGGAAGAAGAACTTCGTGTGCGCGCCTCACTGCATTCACCGGACAGCAGGGACCCGCGGCACCTTTTGGCCAACGGGCCCTGAGAGCCAAATGTTCGGGCGTCCGTCTTCAAATTCGTGCCCGTCCACCGGCCAACAGAAGAAGACAATCGGGGAAGACAATCGGCGCATGTGAAGCTGAAACTATGAAATCATCGTCCATGTGGACTCTGCTCACTGCGGACCGCCCTTCCCGACGAGCTCTCTTTTGCCGTGTCAGGTCAGTGGGGGCTGCAAAGGCTCCTGCCGCAGCTTGGAAACAAGAACCCGTCTCCTCTCCTTTCCCCAAGACTGGCTTGACGTCTGCAAGAAGCTGGGACTATAACTATAACATGCTTGCCGGTGTTTGCTTCTCGTAAGTTGCACGGATGCCAAGCCCTTCACCCTTCCAGAACCCCATGCGCAATCGAACCGAATACCGTTTGCATCTAGACTCGCACGAATCGGTTCCACTCAATCCTCGTCGGGGTCTGGCACCACCGAGTTCACCAGGCCAGGCTTCCGCAGATTCCCCGCCTGGCCGCACTTCCCGGTCCCATGCAACACATTCCCGCGCGTCGGCCCGACACAAGCGTGCCAGTTTCAACAGGGACGTGGCCAATGGCGCATACGTCTAGGAAAACCAATACTTAGTGCACCTGCAAAGGGACTGGTTACCGGCGGCCTCCAGCATAGAGCCATGGGTCGGCACCAAGGCCTGCCGCATGTCTGCCACCGGCAGCAGGTGCCTTTCCGTAGCGTGGCAGGGACCCTGCTGAAACATATGCCCTGCTGCTTTTTCACCAGCATGGGGCATGGGGCGCTTGCCGCATTTCAATTCGTCTCGGTTCGCCACTTCGCCCGCAGCAAAGCACGACAAAGCACATGGCAACCAGCCAATGCCACTAGCAGTAGGTGCAGAAGCCAATATTTGCGGAATACTTCTAGCAACGCGCCCACTCAGGACGCGCTGAGTTTCACTGGGAGGCTGCCGGCCTGATGCTTTTGTGGATTGGAACTCGCGTCACAAAATCCATTGGAACCTCAGCGCAGTGGCACCTCCACATAGCCAAGGCTCAGCTGATGGCGCAACATACACTTGAAACCACTGGCTGTAACATGATGATTTCAATCTGACGAAGTAAGTCGTTAGATGCCATGTGCGCCTTTTACGGCATTGCTTCCTCAACGCCGTCTAAACACAAGATAATTCGGCAACCCTGAAGCAAGCACAATCTTTGCCTCCCTCAGCTCCGCCAATGCATCGACATGCAGGCAAGCAACGTCTGTGACAATGTACCTGACAGCTGACAGCCGCCAAGCGCTGCCAATGCCACTTTTCAAGCCCCCAATCATGCAGCAGGAGACCTGCCACCCCCCTTGCACAAGGCTTCCCTTGTGCAAACTGCACATCTGGAAGGGGCACGGACCGAAGGAATGGCGTCGCACTGTCTGGACACGCATGCGGTGCGAGTCCAGCAACCTGGGACACTGGCACTCGCTGACCCAAATGGGTGCGGGTCTAAACCCCGCCATTGAACGCGCGGCGTTCTGTTCAATAGTACTGAACGGCAGCTGCAACAGGTGATACGGAAAAGGCATGTGTATCTCAAAACGCTAGCGCCAAGCTAGCGCCAGGAGCAGTAGCACTAGCAGTAGCAGTGCTAGCCGTAGTAGCAGTAGTCGCAGCCGCAGCAGCTACAGCAGTAGTAGTAGCAATCGTAGTTTTAGGTAGTAGGTAGTAGGTTGTAGGTGCTGGGTAGCAAATAATAGGTAGTAGGTGTAAGTAGTAGGTAGGAAGTAGGTAGCCGGTAGCGGGTAGTAGGTAGTAGGTGCGGTAGCCGGTAGGTTGATAGCAGGTAGTAGGCAGTAGGCTAGTAAGTAGTAGCTAGTAGCTAGTAGGTAGCAGGTAGGAGGTAGTAGGTAAGCATAACATTCTCGGAATGCAAGGTCTGGGAAATGATCTTGGAAGAAGTCCAAGACAAAGATAAACAAACATGAGGAAGCAATCCCTCGTAGCCTAATTTAGCATTGCTTCGAAGCAGGAAAACTGATCCCTTGTGACGCCATGTTTGTCCTATCTTTCCAATCCAAAATCAACCCTCTGCAGTATTGTCGCGTCCCGCTCGAAGATAAGAAGCGCCGGTCCGAGAGTCCGAGGTCTGGAAAAATGTGTGCCTCCAAAAAGGAAACTGAGACTGGCGTGCCAAAACTGTCCAGACCTCGCACGTCCGGCGCTTTTCTACAAATTAAGTAGTGGCAATACTAAAGTTAATATTCGGAGGACTCCCTCTGCATCCATCTTTCCGAGGACCGCCTATTTTGCTGGGCATGCACATACTAAGTTGAGTACCGACAATACTAAATTCAGTACCGGCAACCAAATTTCAACTCTGACAAAACTAAATTTAGTACCCGCAATATTAACATTAATACTGGCAATATTGAATAGTTGACTCAAAAATACCTCTGTGTTTCTCTGATATTTGGAGAGTGGTGCCATGTGGTGTCGACTTGTGTCACCTTGCATTTCGTGTGAAGTGAAGGATCTTGTGCAAGTACAATAAATAAATGCATGATTAACACGGACAACGAAGCACCTACCCTCTACTCATGTGTAATCGCTAGGGGCTTCTAACACTACTCCTACTACTACTACTACTACTACTACTACTACTACTACTGCTACTGCTACTGCTACTGCTACTGCTCCTGCTGCTGCTGCTGCTGCTACTGCTGCTGCTGCTGCTGCTGCTACTACTACTACTACCACTACTACTACTTCTACTACTACTACTAATAACTACGACTACCACTTCCACTTCCACTGCCACTACCACTACCACTACCACTGCTTCTACTACTACTAGGACTACTACTGCTACTTCTTTCTGCTACGGCGATAGACGTCAATCACAAACTGCCATGGAAACACATGTTGAATGCCTGGTTTGCTGATAGACAACCATCACAATCTGGATGGGCACACCTGCAAAGACTAAGATCTTGCCAAGGCACATGTCGACAGGCCGATCTGGCGACTCCACATATCGCACGCGCAACCGGAAGGTCGCTCCAGTGCGCTTAGTGACACTGCAAAAAACCTCAGTTTGCCAGGAGCCTATCATCGGCCATCACGGCATCAGACTTCCTGTGCATATAATGCTGACGCGTGTCCCTGCCATAATTGACACCAGCCGCGCGAGCGCCAGTGCGCCACTTGTGCAAGAGCTCCACTGGCGGATCGCCTCTCACGTTTCAAGCTGAGACAAAGAAAGCCGCGGGTGCCTTGCCCTCATGGCCCGCGAGATCCTTCCGGCCTTGAACCTTGCAATCGAAGGCGCTGAGCACGTTGCTCTCGGCGCCTTGGTCAGCTGAATTCAGATTCATGAAGAGAAAACAAAAATAAAGCTTGTCATCCTAAGCACCTGAATCTCCGATTGAAAATTGACACCCTTGGCTTCAGGCTGGCCAGGGTCTCCGCAAAGATACCATCGTTGGTGAGCAGCACAAGGCCGTCAAAGGCATAGGGCAACCCCGTCACCTTAAGCTACGCCAAAGCAACCTTGTCTATCACCAAACGCAGCCTTAGGCGAGTTTGCTTGCGCATGTTGAACGAAACCAACGCGTGATGCTACTCTCGTGACCTTCTAGAATGGAGAGGGATGGCTGATGGCTTAGCTTCAAATGATGTCGAAACCAAGGTCCTGGCGATGACCCAGTGCTTGTCCTGCAAGTTCTCCTCTTCTAGGCCCACACCGCCTGCTTTGCCCGCTCGCTTCATCTCCTGCACGGCGCTTGGCGAGCAAGCCAAGCAAACCTATCTGAAGCTCGTGATAGCAAAAGATACACAGGCTGTCACGTGGAAAAGAATGCCACCCATTTCCAGGAGTGCAGTTCGAGGTTAGCTGCCTGGCCTTCTCTCCCCACCGCCTCATGCGGCTCCGAAGGCTTTCCATGCCCTCGCGCTCCACATTCTCGCAGATCACCTTCCTGCAACGTTCATGCCGAGCATGCGCCAAGAGAAGGAAGAGCGACGCGCGGTTTGACTCTCCGGCCTGGGTTTGAACATGGCCCACAGCTTGGGTTCCGGATCGGGAGGAGGCACGGTGAGGCCATCCTTGCAGTGCTGCAAACAGACCTCAAGTGAGCCTGAATCGTCAAGTGGCAGCCAAGAATCTAGCGTCACGTGCGCCTGCTGGAAGACTTTGAAATTGGTGGTGGCAACCCTCCCATCGACCTTCACGCGGCCTCAGGCATTGGGGGCGCAGCTGCCCCAGCTCCCGTGCGAGGTGTAACCACCGATTTCACCCCTTATGCCCAATTTAATGCGCTCCACCCCCCCAAATCCTGATAGCGGGCATCAGCAAAGACTGGTGTCAGCACCATCCGACTGCTGGAGGCTCTTAGCCCAAAAGCCAAACCTCCGCCACGCCTGCAGCGATGGCCTCCACAGCCTTGTGATTGGAAGTCAGCCCCGCCAAGCTGATCCGCCGCGAGAGGCGCTCGAAGCGCGTCACCAGCCTGGGCGCGCGGGGCGGCCATGAGGCACTCAAACCGAGGGGCTCGCCTTCCATGTGTTTGGGGATCAGGATTCAACGACAATCTTGCTACAACTGTTTCAGCAGGACTATCCAAAAGACCTTCCCATCTGTGACTCATGGAGACTTGTGGCCTCACCACCCAACTCAATTCCCGCTGCCTGCATTTTTATCAACCTGCATTTGTTCTATCAAAACAGCAGTAGACAGTAGGAATTAGATTTGCAAAACGTCCGCGATCCTTGCTCAGGCAAGCAAAGGTGCATCTGCATCTGCCTTGCAGCCGCCATTGCCCGGCAGCATCAGCATGTGAGGCAACAACAGGTTGGTTGGCCCTGCTGGGAAAGATGCAACATCTAGATTGTTGCTTTCTGCATTCTCATCGCCAAACAAAAAAGCATTGCCTTACCCACTTCTTCATCCACAAACCGGCAACTTCGGCATTGCTTCCCTTGAGGGCACCTTTGGCTCCAAGCGGGTGTTTCACAAGTCAATCTGTGACGTAAGGGTCGTGTCAGGGGGTTCCTTGTTGTGGCCTTGCTTTGGGCCAGCGCTTGCGCAAGAACAAATGCTGCCTAAGCAGCCTGAGTCGTGCATAGAAAAAGAAAAATCGGCCGCAAATGCTGCCTTCTTGGCATCCGACATCTTTTCAAGCACATCCCAAGGCGACTGCAAGTACACACCATGAAAGGGTAACCACATGCCAAGCACCGCGACATTTTGTCCTGGCTGCGGCATGTGCGGGACTGCACCCGGCCAGCAAAAGCAGGTTTGACATAGCAAGCACAGCAGCGATTGAATTTGTATAAGCTACTGTTTATCTTCCAGGCACTGCTTGTGTGAGGTGTTCTTTGCTGCGCCAGTGTGCAGGGCACATCGGTTCAGCAGACTCATGGTCATCTTGGGGCTGTCGAGGCAAACTTTTAAAAGCCAAACGTTTGCCCTATGGGCAATGGCAAAGGCCTCAGGGTCCGTTGGCAATGGCAGGGAGGTTCGCCTGCGCCATCTCAGTTGCCCCACGCCACAATTGATCGTTGAGTCATGATGTTATTGTGTTCTGGTGTCATGACCTCACATGTCGTGACCCTTCCAAACAAACAAGGGGCAAATGTGGCTGCACGTGTGGGTGTGCCAGGTCGATGTTGCATGGCTATGCATGTGGCCCTTGCGCTTGCAGCACATCGCTCCGCTCGCCTCATAGCTCATCTTCCAGGCCGTCATGTCGGCATCCAAGGCTTTGCCATCCGTTACCTCGATCTCTTCGGCACCCTGCCTGGGCTTTCCAGGAAAGTCCCTCCAAGCGGCAAACCGCAATCCCCTCGAACAATCCGTCCATGCTTTCTCAGGCTGGTTGTGAGGAGGTTGGGGGGTGCAAACAGCTGCTCCTCATGCTGAATTGAAGTTCTGTGAGTGAGCTCCTGTTGGCCTCTCAGGTCTTGGTCAGGGTGGGCACCCCAACAAGAACATCCAGCAACAGAGTCTCCGGACGCTGCCACCCGTTCAGACCCAACATGACTTTGACTGCATCAAATTTGTCCCAAGCAAGTAGATCGTGTTGATGTTTCTTCTTGGCACCGGCCGGGCGGAAATGAGGTGCTGCAGGGTTGCTGCACCCACAGGCCATAGCTGCCACAACCGTGTCGATACGCAAGGAACCTTAGCTCAGTGCCAAGCAAACCACATGAACCAGCTATCGAGCCGTGCAAGCCCTAACCTCCTGCGGCTGCCGTGCAAGTGACCCCAAACCTCCTCTGGGTATGAGTGCTGTCTGCGAGCCAGTCTCTCTTTCTTCTTGGAAAAAGCGTCGGATTAACCCACCGGCTTACCGGGAAAAGCCCACCACCTGGACCGCCACGGCAGCGCGCCGAGGTGCTGGTCTGTCGCCTCTGCCGCATCTGCCGCCTGCTCCTTGAACCCGACGATGTCGAAGTTCATCTTGGCCAAGGCAGCTTCCACCGCGCTGCGGCGCTTGGGCTCATAGTACACCTCAGCTCAGCCGTGCTGAGAAACCGAAGGATGCGGCAACTGCCGGGACTTGGAACCCACACAAACTTGAATCTGTCAAATGTCGGATCGCCTTCAATCTACATGCTCAAGCCTCGCAGGCAATTCAACCATAAACTAGATGTGCTCAATCATGCTGTAACTCCGAGCCGCTTCCCACCCCTTGCCAGGCTAGCAGCTCGGCTAGCAAAAACTTGCTTCAAAGTCACAAATCAATGTGAATTCAAGCGGCGGACAATGCCTGAAATGCAACTCCCCAAAGGCAACTTGTTTAGTACACGAACTTCTTCCGAACCCTCTAAAACCCTCGTGAACCCTTTCGCATGCTTGCGAGAACGATCGTAACCCCCAAACCCCGCTTGGTAACGGGGACTCTTCGCCACATTCGGGGAAGGTGCCAAAGAAACAGCTGCAACTGTCGGACTCGCTGCACCCAGGGAACTGAAAGCAGCCATCGTTTCGGCAGCACGGGGCCCAGCGCCATGGAGCCGCCACGCGGAACAAGCACCTGCAAGGCGCAAGGTTGTGCTGGAGGATTGCTTGTGACGATGTTGCGCTTCAAGCCCTTACAACGTGTTCATGAAGTCTTTTTGCGGGCCCAGGATAATGTCCAAGTCAGCGTCGAGCATGTTTTTGTTCAGAGCTTCTGCTGGTTTCGCAGCAGTACTGTGTGAACTTGATGTTTTGTGTTTGCCCCTCAAACGGTTTCTCAATTCCCTAGCCCTTGTCCTTTTCGGACAGGTACAAGTCTCCTTTGACTGTTTTCCATACCCCATTTACCAAGCGCTTTCCAGTCAATGGAAAGCTGTGAATTCCAGGAATAAAAACGGCACAAACAGGTCTGCTCAGCCTGCCAATGCGCAAGCCATGATGCAATCACGTGCCAATGCAAAGCTGAGACCTGCTGCGGGGCTCTGGTGGGCACGCAGCGCAAGGAGAAGCCCGCGCTGTTCATTGCTGAGGTGTCCTGAGGGTCGTGATGTGCGTTGGGCATCCATGCTAGGTCCAGGAGTTGCTTCCCTATCTCGTTGGCCCTCAAATCTCTTCAAAGTGTGGCAAAGCTGAGTGGGTTGTATAATCGGGGACATTCCAATCCCCAGGCCCGGCTGAAGGAAGCTGAGGCCAGATGCATGTGCATAAACACCGACGGCAATCCAGGGATGCCAACCCCAAATCACAAGCATGCCTTCCGACAAATGACGTTGATCGCAATGAAATAAATCGAGAACTGGCAGTGAGCGTGATGCGAACGTGCAGCTGAGCGAGCTATGCCTCTCTCCAGCCACAGGCACCCTCCCAGCCAAACCCACAGCCGGGGGTCGCAAAGACCCTCAAAGAGATTCGGCGCGTGCTTCACCTTCAGCTGGCGTTTAACCAGCAACACCGGCTTGAAGTCCAACAACAGCTCATCGTCTAGCAGGAGGTCATCATTGCCCCCAAGATTCTTGGTGAACTTGAAGGTCTCAGGCCTGAATCAGGCTACACAACAGTCTCTAACAGGTGCTTCTTCAAGTGGCTCGTCTTTTTTGGGCGCTGACCACAAAGAAATTCGGCCCTCCACCCGAATTTGTCGAAACCAGGCCCTGGGCTCGCCTCTTCTTCGCCACCTGGGCGTTGGTCACACCCAGGGGTAGCTCGCTCTCCATGGAGCTGCTGAAGAGCCAGTCCTCAGCTGCTCCTACGCCCTGTGGTTGGATACCGTGTGTTGGGATGCTTGCTCGTTTCGGGGGGGGGATTTGACAAATCTCTTGCAGCCCTTGTTCCACCTCTCTCTCTCTCTCTCTCTAGCATCCTCGAGCTGGTCTTCTTCCACCATGTTCGGAAGTTTCTGAGACTTGAGATGCTGATGCCCAAAGGCCAAGCCCAACACCATGCAGGGACAAGGGGCGCCCGAGCAGCCCATGATTGGACTTGACCAATTCTGACCCTAACATCCGGTCACAGCTACAGGATTCCAGCCCAATCTCTGGCCCCGGTCTCTAATTTGGCCCCCCCCCGGGCCTCTTCGCAAAACAACCCGCTGTACGTGTCACCGAGTTCCCAATTCAGGCAGCACCTTGAGCCAAAGGCTCCAGCGTGCCTTGCACCCCATGAGGCGCTTGGCTCATGAGCTCCTCCATGGCGCGACCGGGGGCCAAGGTGAATTGCTCTGCCGGCGGATTTCGCAACACTTCCCGAAACGTGTGCTCGGATTTAGGCTGAGGCTTAGCATGTCGCCGGGCCCAGCTTGGTCCAGAAAGGCGCAGTTCCGGCTAGGCTAGGAATTGCGGCACACCCAGCAGCCGTGAAAGGCAGCGACACTTTTTTAAGCTGATCTGGCAGCATGCTGAATCGCACCTGGCGGATGCGACGTTTAGCCTTGCCAACGGCACACGCCTTTCCACGCCTTGCCATCGGACGTGGAAAGGACGCGCACCTTCACGGTCTGGCCAATCGAAACCTGTTCTCGGAAGCCAACCACAGCTCTGTCATTGATTTTCACATGTGACGCCGGAAATGCCCTCGTTCCACCACTGGCCTCTGAGAAGATATCCCTGATACGGCCCTGCAGCAAATCAGCATAGCATCCCATGTTTGCCCCAGTGTGTAGGTGATCTGCTTGGGCAAACAAGGGTAAAAACCTGCTGAGCCCGGTCAAACGCCCAACCCAGCCTCCCGGATCTCTGAGATGTGCACCATGCCTTGACACAAGGGAACGGTGCCGCGCAGTGCACACGGTGAGCGAATTAAAGGTCAACACCCCAGTGAAAGCTCATCAACTACCCACTCTTGCGCTGCTGACGCCGCACAAAGCCATTTGACCTGGGGCCCCCAACCCTGACAAGGGCCGTGCGTCAAGCTCACCTGAACTGAGTTGGACTCATGCCGTGCAGGACCTCCCCCTCTCTCAGCCTCAACGAACACGCCAAAAGGCTTGATGTTGTACACATTACCTTCCAGCCAGTCGCCCCTGCAATGCTCAGCGAGAGACAGAACCAAAACACTCATTCAAGCATTCAAGCGTTCATGCAAATAACATACAACTCAACTGAAGTCTGTCCTGGCCAGCTCGTCCCCACTCAGGTGCTTGCGGGTGAGGAGCAGGGAGTCTGCAGTTTTCAGCATGGTGCATTGTCAAGCAGCCTAACCTTTGCCATGCCCGTGAAGCAAAGATTGACATGGTGGGAGCTAGCAGCTAACCTTTTGGCAGCACAAGCGTCAGCATCAGAGCACAGGGAAAAAAGGGACAACACGGTTTTGGGGGTGTGGCCAGGCATGGTGCAGGACATTGCACGGCACTGCATGACATTGCACAGCATGACGGCACAGCGTGGCGTACGGCATATTGCATTTCCCTGTATTGCATCTCCTCTGTCCGCTTGCAGCACCGCCACATCGATCCTCTCCCCAACTTTCAGCACCTCGCGGGACTGTGAAGTCTCACGGCAAAAACCGTTGGAGCGACAGAGCGCCTGGCCTCGCGGGCCGACGGCACATAGCCAGGCATCTTCGACACGTGCAGCCAGCCTTTGGCTGCTCAGTAGGCTGCCATGGGGGAAGAATGAGGTGGCTTGATATCAACTGGCTCAGTGGCTTGGCTGCTTCGGCCATTGCTGCACTTGCTTGGCCAGATTCATGGACGTAGCACTTCTCCATCCGAGCCAAACCTTCAAGCTCCACCCGCCTTCATGCCCCACACCACCCCGGGCATCGCCCAGGATCACGTGGGCGCCCTTGTCCTGCACGTAGCTCACGATGCCCGAGTGCCTCTGGCCCACCTCTGGGATGGGGGGCGGCCGGCTGGTCAGGCTTCCAAAGAGGGGGCACGAGCGCTTGACTTGCCGCACTGCAAGCTTGTTTGGACCACCTTGCCTTTTCACGCTGGCAAGGGTAAATTCTTGCAACTTGAAAGGATTGGAGACTGTTCCACAAAAAAATGGTTGGAAAGCGTATCACGCACGGTGTGAACTGCGTGAACGGAGCGAACAGTGTGAATGGTGTAAACTGTGTAAGGCACGTGCGTCCCCGATACGCAATTGTGTTTCAGCCGAAATGGTCGACACTAGTTGCGCCAACGACTAACAAAGACTCAATCAAATCATGGGCCATCGACCACTGGGAGTGCAATCGGGCACCGTTGACGGCGGACATGAAAACGCCGGGCAAACGCCTCCAGGTCAAAGCCCTCCGGCCGACTTGGCCGCAGCCGCATCTTCGAGGGTGCCAGGGAGAGGTAAAGCAAACTCCTGGGACCATGGCCCAGCTAGTCACCAGCACATGTGCATTAAGCTAGCCTAGGCCGGCAACAAACTTTGTTCCAATAACTCGCGTTGAACAGTAGACTAACTCAGATCAACCTCGATTGCTGATCTGGATCAGCGGCTTGGGGACGAAGATGGAGAAACACCCTCACCCACATGATCATAGCTGTGCTTGGTGAAATGATTGTAGAGCCCAACCGAGTCTGTCCCTTCCAAACAAGCCCATTTGGAGCCTGCACGCTCATGGCTAAATGAGGTAGACAAAGCAGCTTTTGACTTAACAATCCAAAAAACAGTTTACTGTGTTCGCAATGCGGCCAAGCATCGATGCTTCCGTCGACCGCAGCGGCAGGGTACCAACGCTGCGCTCTGGCCGCCCTGGCTGCACGTGGGCTGAGACATGATTCAGGGTCTCCCCGCTCGAAGGGTTTGCTTTTGCTTAGAACCCAAGCTGCGACGCGGGGTCAACCAAAATCAGACCCAATGCCACCCAGAACCAGCCCCCCAACCAAAAACCAACCCAAGATCCGGCCACCAAACTATGAGTAGCTGAAGGCTACCACGCATTATACAGCCCCACAAGCCAGTCGCACCCCGCATCCCTGACAAAAACAATGAAAGCAAACAGCTCCAAGATTAGATTGGAAATGACAGCAATAGCTCACCAATGCTACCAACCTCGATCAAGCCCAGCCAGCCCCGACCACCAGCAACCCCAACCACCCACCCCAAACCCCCAACCGCCCCCCAACCACCCCCATCCACCCCCAACCAACCCCAACAACCCCCAACCACCCACAACCAACCCCAACAACCCCCAACCACCCATAACCACCCACAACCACCCACAACCACCCCCAACCACCAACAACCACCCGAAACCACCCTCAACCACCCCCAACCAGCCCCCACATCCAACGTCGAACCATCCGACCATCCAACCATCCAACCATCCAACCATCCAACCATCCGACCACCTAACCGCCCACACACCCAACCCATCATCCAACTAACACACCACCAAACAGACCAACGACGCCGCGATTCGCGAGAAAAGGAATCAAAAGGAGCGTTCCCCGCGCAGAATAGAATAGCAACCACTTCCAATAGCTCGCTTTAGTCAAAATTTAGCCTGGCCGCTTGTTTGGAAGACGATGTTGACAACTGTGGCTTGGACCTGGCGATCAAGAAGGCATGCAATAGCTTGCGCAATAAAAAGCGGCCACAAAAACACATCAGGCCCACAACCACCGTTTCTCTCAACAAATCGTTGGTGTTGCTAGGCAGCCACATCTTGGAAGTGCAACGTAGAAAGCGCAAAACACTGCGTCCGATGCAAAAATCTACGAGGAGGCTTGCATCAGCTCTGGTGCCTCCTGCCCCACTTTGAAGCTCCTCCTGGGATCCTCTAAGAAGTCATCGCTCATCACCGACTTGTGCACCAAGCCCTCCACCTCCGCTCCTATGTCCACGAAAGCACCTGCGGGCAAGTCCTTCCCGCTCGCGCGCCAACACTGACTGCATGCCGTGGCCCGGGGCCCTTGCTCCACTCGCAGTCAAAAGACGACCGAGGCTAAGCGACCCACCTGCGTGGTCAACATCGGAGATGTAGCCAGTCCTGGGTTTGAACGCGGAACATTGCGAGCCTGGAGGCACCCGCTCTGTGCACACAAGCTCCGACCGCAAGCTGCGGCTCAAGCCCACCCCTCCATTAGCCCTTACACTGGCCCGACACGACACCCCATGCACAAAACGGACGTTCAAGTGCACGGCAAAGCTGCTCCACGGAATTCAACCAAGCTTTGTTCCAAATTCCGTGGTTTCGACACCTTACTGCCAATCAAGACTAACCGACTACTTGCTGCCAAGCCTCAAAGTCGTCCCTAGGCAGAGTTCCTCCACCGGCGTACGTGGCGTACTCACCGCGGGCGGTTCCAGCATCTCGGAGGAGATGACGGAAATCTTTGCGCCCTGTGCCAGGAGCACTCTGGTTGCAGGTGTGCTGCGGGGATTACAATCGATTCTCCGGCACCTGAATCTGGCCTGACGTTCATGTCGAAATTGCGATCACTCCTGTTGTGTGTTATGCTCAGGTCCTGAGCGGATTGGCCAAAAAGTTTTAACGTCCGGGAACTTGGGATATAAGTGTCCTCTCCGATTGGCAAAACTGTCTGCCATGAGTTCTTGCGGTCAGGTGTGGGTGAGTCATCATGAATCTTAGGAAGAGACTCCCCTGCCAGACCATGGTTGCGCAGCTTGCTGGACCCCAATTACCACACCTCAACCCATGATAATCATCCTGGCTTGAATTTTCGGCTCATCTCCTTGCACTTGCAACATTCGGCTTGAGAAAGGACAGTTTCAGGAACTTTCTGACATGGGAAGGAATCGCCTGCCAACAAGGTGACCCTTGCCTCGCTGGCAAAGCTCGTGGGCGGCATCTCGTACCTCGGCGCGCAACCGTATAGCAAAATTAGCACCTCCCAACTGTCCGAAGATGACAGGCAAAAAAAAAAACTTGTGGAAAATGAGGCATCTTGCTCATGCGCTTGGAAATGAGCCTCTCCTACAAACACTTGGCCAAAAAGATCGCCTCTGATTTTCTGCACCGAGCTGCTCCTCCACCGTGGCCTGGACAGGTCTTTGAACTTGGGTTTTCCCCTCGATCCGAGCGTGGACCAAACGCGTTTGTTCCAAGGCGTTGGCTCCTGGGCCAAGAAAGCTGCGCAACTTGTAACCGCTGAGCTCTCAAATGAGTTGCACGTTTGGAGCCCTTCATGGCCAACATTCCGCGTGGGAACCGCACGTTGGGGTCATGGTGCGACTCGGCTGGGCCGTCTGAAGGGGAGGACATGAAGAAGTGAACAGCCAGCTGCGGAATTTGCCTCCCACCCTAAGATGCGGGCCTTGTTTCCCCTGCTACCTGGCATGGAAGCCGCCAGCGCCACCGAGGAGCAGACTTTCCGAGGGGCCAATTCCGCAGGCGAGGGCAGGATGAAGCACATGGCCAGCCTCCCGCAGGCCGCCAACGCGCATAGCGCAACCTCGGGGAGGACAAGCACATGCCAGTTCTGCAGCGTGAGGGAAAACAAAAACTGGGAGCATTGGCCCCAAACCACCAGGGAACGCTCGGACGATTGCATTGAAGGGGGGCCAACATCTCTCTTAGTGCTTCCGCGTAGGTTGTTCGAACAGAGCCAACAAGGTTGCGCCTGCAAAAACCCGCGGGAGCCAACGACCAACGAGCAAAACGCGGTCAGGGGCACAGCGGTGAAGAGGGCTGGCCGCTGGACTGCGCGCACCATGGCGTCCAATGCCCCGCCGTGAGGCCGCACCCATGGCAAGCGATAACCGCAGTTAAGTTGGCTCCGAAATGACAATGAATCTGCAGATACGCAAAATGGCTTGTATGGGAAATCATCGCATCCTGTCTTTCTTTGAATTGTCCAGACACTCATCCACTGAAAGGGAGTGAATTAAATTGGGAGCAAATCAACACCTTTTGGCTGAGGCTCACTAATCATTTAGGACAAACTGCATCTCCTTCTGGAAGCCTCAAAAAGGATTTAGCTCATTTCGGTCTGGAATTCAATCCAGATTTAATTCTGCTCTGCAAACGTCCAGGAGTAGCTTCGGGCCGCCCAAAAGACTTTATCCTCCTTTCACTCCTTCATCTCAACCGATAGGCAACAGTGAGGTCAATATCTGTGATCCGGTTGCACTGGGATTGATGAGTCTAGGGCATGACACATTGCCAATGAACGCTTGAACCTTCAGAAGCAAAGCGTTTGACTGCGTAGGCTTGAATTATCAAGACATATGCCGCCCCGTTGTTCTTTTTCCCCATGCTTCTCTGCATTCGTTGGTGGCGTGAAACTTAAGCTTTCCTCCGAATCTGGATGAAAAAGAACGTGATCGGACCGACATACTGGAAGAGCCTGATGAAACCCAACCCCATCTGGTCTGCTATAGCACGCTCATTCCCAAGCTTTGAATAGAGGTAGTTGACGAAATCCTCGCTCTGCACGTATTCTTGGACGGCTGGATGATGGAAGACTTCATTAAAGTTGGCTTGCCCCTCTTCTGGGTCAGGCACGAACCAAGTCATGTCATCCCAGCTTCTGTCCGGAAGCCGAGCTTCCTTGTGCCGCCTGTCATCCGGCTTGGCCTCGTGCTTCATCTTTTGGTTGTAGATCTTAACCGCTTTTGTCATCAGCAAATTGCGGATTGTCGCGCTCACCTTTCGCACGAGGCCCCGGCTACTCACAGTGAGTGGAGGAAACAAGCCCGCGAAAGACATGAGCCAAAATCACAATGCCGATCTCTGCAGTGAATGCCGCTAAAACCCCCCCCTGTCTCACATCCCGCCTCATGGGCTTCCGTTCTCTCCTCCTTCTCGTGCTTCTCTGAAGCGGCGGAGCCCATCACCAGAGTCCAGTAGATCCCCAGGACGTCTTCATCCCACTGAGCTGGCCCAATGACCTCACCCAACGGCCCTCTCAATCCTTGCACCGAGCCCAACCTGACCAAAACGAGAAAAAAAATGGGGGTCGGGTTGATCCGCAATGGGGATTGCGCCCAAAACATCATCCACCATGATCCTTATCTACGGTTGCAGTTGGGAGTGCTGCTGGGCTCCAACTAACGCCCAATTTGTTGGGACCAATTTTGCCAATTCGTGAGCCAATACCAAAGGACAGGCACAGCATGGAGTGCTAGCTGGACGGCCACCCGCAAACAAAACCAGGAGAGAAGTGAGGCTCGCTATGCTATGGCTATGGAATGCACGGAAACGGAACTGGCAGGAATAGGCTTAAGCGGCTTAACACTGAGAATGGGATGGCTGGCCACGACACTCCCATGTCGCCGGCCACATTGTCCAGCTTGATGATGAAGGCCAAGCCCATTGAGTCATAGACGACATCCTCATAGAGATTGCACAAGTGCCAAACCCCCGAAAGAGGAAGAACAAAAAATACTAGTAAAACTTCAAAAGCAAATACCAACTCATACAAAGGCAACTTCGCACTCAAGAAACGAATGGAACCTACAAACGGTACCCAAATGTCCTGTCCTTCGGATCACTTGACACGTGGAAAACCAGCCACATCGCAATGAGGCAGAAGAAGCTGACGCTGAAGTTCCTGAGGTCAGGGTTGAACTGCAGTTGGGTCACCGCTGAGACTAAAATTCAACTGTAACATGGTGTGGCACGTCCAAAAGCAAGGGCATCACCCCACACTCAAGTGGAGAGTAGGGACTTGGAAGTGAAGTAAACATTGGGTAACAAATCGGGCCAACTTGTTAATCGGCCACCGCAAATGGGCAATCACACCTTTTTTTTAGTTGCTGCTATTCGTTGCTAGTGCGACTGCTTCTTGGTGGATGCCGTTCTTGGGCTTCAAGTCTTGTTTTGGAGACCCTCTGGAAACGTCTGTCAAATGCAACCTGCAACTTCAGCAAGGACGCGACGGGGTTTGATGTAGTTCTCTTTTGAAAGCTGGGGAACCGTAGTTGTGGAGTTGTTGCGGGGGCCACGCGCAAGCAACATTTCGGTGCTATTCACACCCTAGGCGGTGTCATTTACAAATATGATACAGGTAGTTAGTGTATGCCGGTATCCTGCAGTCCTTCCTGCAGTCATTCCTGCCATTTTGTTGCGCCCTTCTATGTAAGGGGGGAGGGGGGGGGGGGCCGCAAGCCCAAGGCAGACCAGGGTGACCAAGGCGCATGATCCTTCCAACCGTCATCCAGTGGCGAGCTCGTCCCATCAGCTGCCCGAGCCTCACATCCTTCATGATCAGCAGCCGCATCTTGCGATCTGCATGGATCTCCTCGGGCGTGCCCAAATGCTGGCCCCTAAATTTGTGGTTTCAACCCCAAATAAGGGACATTAAGAAACCCAAGTTGAGGGTATGAAGCAAGAAACATAACAATACTGGACTCAACCTCATGGGAACTCATAGATAGTCATAGCGCATCATCACTAGAAACAATAGGCACATGGAAACAAGCAACAAGAAAACCCCCAATCCGTTGTGGGTTCAAACCACATCACCACACAAGGCATCTGCAACTCTCGGCTAAGTCCGCCTGCATCACACCCTACGCTCTCCTCACCGAGGTGTACACGTAAGAAGCCGGCAAAGCCAAAGAGGAAAAGCGCGGCAAGGCATCTACCCAGCCTCACAAACACCCACGATAAGTGTGAATGTTTAATTTCCCACAGAACCCCCCCAAAAAAAGCAGCGATTGAGGCACTGCATCAACCCAAAGCTGGCTTCAACAACATGACACCTGACGGACCTGACTTGGTGGACCTTGACCTTCTCATCTTCAAAACTAGATGCCCTGCTGATGCCAAGCTGCCAGAACTCGACGCCTGACTCCTGGCCCAAACCAAAGTGGGTGGTCTCCCAGTCCAGCCTAGTCGTGACGCCCACGTGAAGGATGCGAAAGCGAAAGAGGGCACCAAACCGAAAGAGGGCACCAAATCGAACAAGGGTCCTCTATGGACCTTTTGACCCTAAACTTTGGCTCGGGGCTCACACCCATTTACACATGTGGGTATGCAGCATGTACTGGAATGACCGACGGCCCATCTGTTCGCACCTCTTCACGTGGGAATAGCAAATTGAAACCGGCGAAAGGAGCTGGATCATCATGACAGTCAGGATGCTCCCTGGCAATCACACAGCATAAAAAGCAACTAGAGAGTGTGCAAAGTACCTGCATCAGGTCCACTCGCAAAGTGTTTAACAGTTGCCTTCACAAGTGTTTTTAAAACTGGCCTTTGCTCAAACCCGCAGATTCATGTTTGCATTGGTTGCACATCATCCTAACTTGAGTCAGCCCTTTGCCTGCCCTGTGGACTTCCTGCAAATTTCCCTTTGCATTGCTGCCATCTTCTGCTTCAGTTCCCTTCGACCAAGTTTTTTTCTGATACAGGTATTAGACCACATGTTTGAGCCGTCACTATCTTCTTTTGTGTTTACAGGTTAGCAATTTGCATTCGCGCAGACATGGTTGGGCTTGCACATACCCGACGCTTTACATGCTTTAAACCCCCTAAAAAAGACATGCTTAATCTTAGATACCGTACCCCACTATACACACAAAAATGAAAAAAATGTTGGCTGGGTGCTCATGCACTACAAAAAGTAAGCTACCAATTTGTTGCTCAGTTGAAGGGATCGTCTTTCAGGCGAAGCCTGGTGTCAATCTTGCCCAAGAGCTCCTGCAGCACTTCTTGCAATCGCAGCAGCCGCAGCACGTGCTGCAGCAGCCAGCACTCGAGTCGGGATTGGAACTGGGCACTGTATCTTGACCCGTGGCAACATTCACCAACGCTGCCATATACCTGTAGATGTTCCCAGTGATGGGCTGCGGCTGAGCCATTTGCTCAAGCAGCTGCTTCTGTTTTTTGGAGCGAAACCAATTGGACTTCTTCACAAAATTCTCGGTGACAGAGAGCGCAGATGTCTTTGACAAGGGCACTTTCAGCCAATGTGACTTGGGCTCATCATCGTCATCCTCGTGGTTCACCAAGGATTCCCCTGCAGAAACTGAAGAATAGGCCGCCATGGCTGCAGGCGTTGCAGCTTCAGTTCCTAGACGACGAGACATCTCGAGCCGCTGAGAAAACTTGAGAAGGGAAGACACGAAAGGTAGGATAGCGTGTAGTGATTCCCCTAAACAATGGAACGTCCGCGAGACAAAGTCTGGAGGTGTTGGTGCTAAAAATAGTTGTGCATAGCCCACTATGAATCAGACGTGCACTGAGTGTCCCATATCAACTTCAGAATGCACTACGACTTGACTGGGAGGACCGGCCTTGAAACACAAGGGCAAACCGATGCGAAAAGCGGACCAAAGTGTGAAGCGAAGCGAGCGAAGAGAGAGGTGAGAAGACCGGAAAAAGGAGCGAAGCTGCCAATCAGACAGGGGGGCCAGAGGGCGGATCAGTGGGGGAGTCGAAGGGGGGAGGGGGGGCCCCCACACCGCTACCTGTCGTGATAAGCGAGGTGAGCAAACGTAGGTTTCTTGATGGTGCCCTCAAGATTTAGAACTAAGCGGAAGGGCTATCTCACCAAAGCTGGCATTGTTGCAAACGCCTGCCATTCACAGCCAAAGGTAGTGGCATCTTGACTTTCGCTGTTACCGTTCGTTCAACTCAAATCAAGCGATCTGACTCAATGATGTGAGATTGATCACAACCGTTTTCCAAAATCCACGCTCTAGAGAGTGGCTTGGCCTGCACTTCCACGTCCGCGGGTTGCATGCAAACTTCCACGCTACGCACAAGCTGCTGGAGAACGGCAAGGGGGAGGGGTCCAAGGCTCAAATCAGCGAAAAAGCAGTTACAACGGATGTTGTGGAGCTCACCTCCGGCACCCCTAGCATGCAGCGCTGATGTTCAGGCCCGCGTCCGGGCACAGGTAGCCGGCTGCACTCGGGCGCCTCGGCGTACCTGAAGTCAGCCAGGATGTCACCAACATCCGGAACGGGCCCGTCAAGGTTGTTAGCGCCGGCGCCCGGCAGGGCAAGAAGGCTGTAAGCAAGCGCGTGGGCGTCAGCCAAAAAAAAAATGCTGACCACATCGACCGATAGGCGGCAGCAGAACACACCTCCATCTCTTCAGGGAGAACCAAGCGTCTTCCAACACGCCGCTGGTGGACCCGGGCACGCGTCAAGAGCCGCCAGCAATTTTGTGTTGTAAAACTTTTTTTGCTCATCGTGCCATGTTTCCGACACGTGTAACAAATCGAAATTGAATTCATCAACTTCAGCAATCAAATCTTGCACTTCGGACGCTTCGCAAATTCTTGATGACAACATGCACCTGGTCAGCATTATTGGTTTGAGGCGATGTTGGTGCCATGCCTTCACTAAACCGTTTGTTACCATCATCAGGTCTGCAACGAGCTCCTGGAAAGTTTTCTTCGCAGGACCTGTCGGGAGATTGCCTCGATATTCTCCTTCACGAAGGCTGTGGGCAGCAAACGTGAGTTTTCACGAATGGGTTGAAACTCTCCCAGTTCGTCCATACGGCGTTTCGCTTGCGACCATCGAGGTCAAACATTTTCTCCGCGATTTCTTTCCGTCGCCTGAGTCTTTGCCCCCCGAAACCCTGCTTAAGGGGAGCCTCCGTGCACGGGAGGCACACAGGCCATTTGTACCCCGGAAAGCCCCCAGAAACCCCGGCTGCGCACGCGCAGCTAAAAGCTCGCCCAGGGGCAGGAGCATGGCTGAGCGGCCCCGCCCGGGCACAGGCAGTGACCGGAGCAAGGCCTCGCTAGTCGGGTCCAAAGTGGAGAGCAGCTGCTCACACCGGCGGTGGGCAACACTGAATGCCGCCGCCCCTTTTGCGAACGAAAGTGGGCTGGCACGAGCGGAGTTCATCGAGTGCTGCTGGCGATCCGACGAGCACGGTCGGGAAGGCCATCCCCGCCAAGAAAGTCCGCGAAGGTTGACAAAACAGCCGAGTCGTGCCAACAACCAAGAGGCTTGCAAGTCATCAAGCTCGGGCAAAAGCTACAAGAGCTGGTCATGACAGTCTCGCGACACCTGGAGCTGAGTCCTTTTCTTTTGTGTGTGTGTGTGTGTTTTTTTTTTTCATCGCGTGCCTTTTTCCACTGCATGGGTCCCCCCCCCCCGGAAAAGCAGGTTAGGGGATGCCCCTGGGCACAGAGGGTCCTTAATGCCAGGTTTGCGCACGCTTGCACCCAGCGCTGCAAGCAACGCGCAACCAGTTGCGTGAGGAAATCCGCCGGACTGGGTGGGACATGTGCGCGGCACGAGCGCCTCAACGAGGGAAAGGCGCGAGTTTTGAACGCGGCGGGCCACTTGCCGCAAAATCTTGGCCAGGCCAGGGATGCCGGACTTTGTCCTGTTGGGTCGGCGCGGGTCGTTTGCCTGACACAAGTCAAGGGCTTGCTCTCCAATTCCGCATCGGTTTTGACGCTTTTTGTCGGATGGGAGTTTGCCGACTCTAGGCGAGCTGCTTGCAGACAGCGGTGCTGGGCCCCCTTCTGCCAGCCGGTGCCCAGCTCGCTGCGGCTGGGAACCGCCGGGGTACAAGTGGCCAGCATTTTTGCATGCCAGCTCCTCAATAAAAGCCGCCCTGCGCCGCGACTGCCAGCAACTGCCCCGAGCGGCGCGCGTAATGTCGACCTATGATTACAAAACCTCCCCCGATTAAAGATATGTTGTGGGCCGGCACTGATTAATAAACCCCCCCCCCGAAATAAAGTTATGTGTTGTTTTTTTTGATTTTTTTGATCGGAATCCACACACACTCACAAAAAAACACCAAACCACACAAACACACGCGCTAGCATCATCTCAGCCTCTTCCACTAGCTTGTCTCATTGGTCAGTATCTGCCTCGCCTGCCTTAAAATTTCAGATCTGCAAAAAATACTAGCTCCCAAACTGCAAATTCTTTACATACTCTTGTTTGAACAGTGGCCCCAAATCAACCCTACAAGGGGGGGTAGGGTAGTACTTGGGGGTTGAAAAAAAATAGAGGCCCCCCCCTAACTAAAGTTTCCGGGTTGCCCCCCTATAAAACAACAACAACTCGTGTTTGAAAAGGCTTTCTTAGTAAAAGGCTCAACCGTTGAAAGATTTCCCTTGAAACTTGCTCCCTACCATGACAATCATCTAGCTTTTGCAACCCCAACAAAATCCCAGCTCCCAATCTGCAAATTCTTTACATACTCTTGTATAAAGAATGGCCCCCAATCAACCCTCAAGGGGGGTAGTTCTTGGGGGTTGAAAAAAAATAGGGGGCCCCCCTAAATAAAGATTCCTGGTTGCCCCCCCAAAAAAAATCACCGGCAATACTAAATCAATTGGAATCCCAACAAGTCAAATCTCAAAAGGAGGCTCCAGCAATATTAAACCAGTTGAATTTGTTTCCACGCCTTTTTCCCATCATCACAGGTGAAACGCCGGCACCGCAGCGACAACCTACGCCCCCCGCGCCCAGCGCGAGGCAAGCAGCTCAGCCGCGCAAGGGCAGGCGGCTCGCGCCCGCATCCGCGGCGAGCCTGAGCACGTGCTCCAGCGGCGGCTCGGGGGCCCTGAGGCGATGCCGGCCATGCGCGGCCCAAGGCCGTGGACCCGACGGCCTGCTGCACCGCAACCGAAAGCTGTGCCCACCAGCGCCGCCGCCACCCTTGGGCCGCAGGCCGGCGCACAGCAGTGGGGGGCCCGCAAGCTGCGACAGCGTGCAAGGTCCCGCACGAGCCCCAAGGCCTCGTCATTCCAGCGCCCCTGAGCAAGCAACTCAGGGTACGTCGCCCGCTTCCGGCGCTCAGCCACCCGCAAAGCCGCCCCGTCCTCCTTCGACGCCCGGGGCTGAGGGGCTCCCGAGCGCTGACGTTCGCAGCAGAGCGCCAGTTGAAACTCAAATCTGTCAGCAATACTAAAGCAATTGTAAACTCAAATTCAATTCCAACAAGTCAAATCTCAAAAGGAGGCTCCAGCAATACGAAATCAATTGAAAACTCAAATCCACCAATACTAAACCAATTGGACACCCGAATCCAATCTCAAAAGGAAGCTCCAGCAATACTAAATCAACGGAAACACAACAAATCTGTGAGCAATACTTAGCAAATCGTAATCAAGTTGCAAAAATTATTTTGGGGAGGGAAGTTGTTTGAGGGGGGGGGAGGGCAGGGGTGCAGGGAGGTGCTTATGAATCAGAGGTAGACATTAGGCGGCGGCAAGCTGCACTTTGGGGGCTGGCCAGGGCCCTGCCCCGCGTCTGTTGCCTCCTGCAGGGCGAGGTCGGGCGGCTCGGCGTCGCGCGGGCCCGTCGCGCAACTTTGGGGAGGACGTGGCTTCGAGTTTGCGCTGCAAGCGCGAGCTGGGACGGATTGTCTGGCCGCTTTGCTTCGCGCAGCCACCGAACTCGACCCCGCAGCCACCGTCGTGTCTCTTGACGGGCGTTGCGCTTATGACTCGGTGTCCCGGGTTGCCTTCCTTGACAATCTCAAGGAAGCGACGCCATCGCTTGTACCTTTTGTCCGTGCCTTGTATGCGCGGCAATCGGTGTACTTGTGGCGGGACGGTGCTGGCAGCCTCCCAGCAGCTCCGCCCGGGAGAGTTGTTTCGCTGCTTTCTTGGATCGTCACCATGCCCAATCGCGCGCGCCGCGCTCGAAGCAGTGCCTTCGGCCGTTGAGGAACTCGCCGGGGTTGCCGCCCAACCTGGGCAAAACTCGTGTCTACAATTGCGCCGGGGACGCCGCTTCGCCGGCCATTTCGGAGCTCGGCCCTGAAGCATGGCGTGGCGTGGGTTTGTCGGCATGCCCATCGGCGCCCGCGTTGCCGCGCGCGCGAGGGAGCGCCTTGAGCAGGAGCAGGGCTTGCTGGCGGAGCTGCCGCAGCTGCCTGACTTGCAGTGTGCCTGTGCTGCTGCTCTGCGGGCCAGGCCGGCGAAGCTCCAGGTACCGCGCCTCCTTGCGGCGCCGTGCCAAGGGGAGGCAGGGTGCCACCCCCGGCATTGCAAAGCTCCGGCCCGGCAGCCTGCCTGAGAAGGGACGAAGCAAAGGCTGTCATGGCTGGGCCGACCACCTGGCAACAAGAGCGCCGACAACACTGGGGCGCAGCCGAGCTGGCGCTTCAAGTGCCCGGGCGT